GTATAGCAAATATGGGGGATTTCCTTCTATCTTCTGTTCGAAGGCATAAGTTGTTTTCACTGTTTTGTTGTGTTTCTTTTGCTCTATTCAGTATTCTCAATTGGTTTTATAATGTTCTATTTTTGGTTTGATTTGCTATACCTAATTGACCAGACAACTATTGCGAAGTTAAAGAGATATACCATAGTACATATTAATGCTATCCCAGTATCTTACTGTGAAATCCTGTACCAATTTCATTGCATTGTCTCGATTGGCTTTGTTCTGTCTTATGCTGTTGCATTTTTACTACTTTCAAATAAAATTTTAAAAAAAGGAAATTAACTTGTTGGGATTCCTGTAATGATTCGATGGGATTATAAATATAAACTTTCCAGACTTTCAAGGAGGAGGGATTATAATATTTGGATTACAATAGTTAAACATCCTGGAATCTAGCTGGCAAAATTATTAAAACACATTTTCCCCTTCTTCCAGTTTTATCATTACTCTTTTTTTTTTTTTGGTGCCAGTTTTCATACAATCATCTACACAGTTCATCAAAATAATATAGGAAATCAAGAAAACAACATAGGAAAAATTATGATTTTTCCTCCTAAGGGAAATGCTTTTCTTCAGGGGTTTCATTTTATAATTATAAATGGAAGGGCCAGTCCAGTGAGGCAGTCCTGTTGAAATGAGTAGAATTCGAGAATAATTCTACTCATTCTAGTTAGGGTAGTTAGGGTTATTGTCTCACTTTTAAAAACTAAATCACCTATGAAGGATGAAAAAATATTTGTTGCTGTTCCTGCTTTTCTTTTCTTTTTTCTTTTTCATTTATTTATTTATTTATTTATTTATTTATTTATTTATTTATTTTTGGTTGAGACAGGGTCTTGCTATGTAGTACAAGCTAGTCTTGAACTCACTATGTAGCACAGGCTGGCCGTGAACTTGCAGTAATCCTCCTCCCATAGCTCCCAAATGCTGCAATCATAGGTATGTACCACCATGACTGGCTTATATGTTCTTTTAAAATTCACTTTTGATTATTTTCTTCCAACATCAAGAATTCCTTCTGTAAATAAGTTACTAAATTAGACCCAAGTAAAATTATTTTTATGTCCAGAAAGAAATGTACTTTGTGTTGTGGAGGTGAATTTCGGAGAAGAAAATGCACATCAGATTATATCAAGGACAGGCAGTAGGACCTCATATTTTTATCTTCTCATTTCCCTCTTTAACCTCTCTTCTCTGTTTTTCTTCCCTAACATCACCAAGTTTCATTTAGCTTCATCAGCTAAGGCCTAGGAGGGCAGTGCCTGCATGATATCCTTAAAACATTGCCCTGTGTAAAAAATTATTTTTGGCAATCCAGAGGTTTCTTGGTAGGACACATTTTTTTCTCTGACAATCGAATATTTAGGCTAAAGTTAAAATTTCATGTGCATTTTTATGACTTGGTGTATTCAAACATTATAATTGCATGTTTGAAAAAGGGAATTTGTTTCTTGCTCTTTCTTCATTGTGCCTACCCCTTTTCCTAGTTGGATTATCTTCTCTTGTAGAGCACATTTTCATATCTCGATATATCTCCTCAGCATCTGTTTCTCCTCAATTGTAATTTTTATTCAAGAATAACAACTTCAATCGCTTTGGATATTTTTGTTTTGCTCCCATCTATAAGCCTTACCAGGGTGCACTGAAGGTTAACAGTTCCATTTCTCGAATTCTTTTGGATCCCTTTTGGAAAAAAGTGCCAAAGAATATAATTGGGGCTCAAATGCATCTGAGTGCCAAGAACTTTGAGGAAGCCTCCACACAGCTGTGTCTTCTGCCAGCTCCCTTCTGATCCTACTATGCCCAGCTTCCTGATGGTTCCACACAGGAACATACATCTTTTGTTTATGTGAGAAAAAAAGTCTTTGGATCCAGGAAATGCCAGAATCCGACTTTACCTAAGAATACTCCACCTTGTTCAATAATAGATGAAATGATTTCTCAATTCACTGAGTTTTCTATTCTTCTTTATCATAACGGATCTAAGTGTTGCCAGTATTCATTTTTAAGGGCTCCTATCAGCCATGAGGAATAACCAGACTTGCTCAAAGAACATTTCTTGAAATTACTGAAACAGTAAACATCATGTGAATAGCAAAAGTATTGCAGGAAGCACTCCATTGGAGAGTCTTGTTGGCTGTTTTGCCAAAGAGACTTTGGGCCACAGGATCACTTTATTAGCATACTATTTTTTCCTGTAACACATAAAGCTGTTTGTTTCAGTTGTGAGTCTTTTTGCTGTAAGAGGCAGGAAACCCAACCCAAAGTAGCTCAAGTAAGAGGACTATTGGCATGCATCGCTGAAAATCTCAGAGGTGGCATTGTCCACTTGTATGGCTCAGATGGTGGATTTTTTTCTACAGATGTGTTGGTTTTCTTTTCAATGTTGGCTCATTCATGACACCATTTAAGATACTTACAGCAGAAGATATTGTCAAAGATAATAAGACTAAAGAGAATAGGCTCCAGAACCTGTATTTTCTGTTTCAATTGTACAAAGATGCTGAAGCCAGCCATTCAACAACGAAGGCTTAGCCTAGATTTCCTGTTTATCCAGAAAGGAAAGCAGCCCTGGGAATCTGATGTGTTTTTTACCTAGGGGTTCTTGCAAAAACCTCAGTGTACTCTGTTGCCATTGAGGTTGCCTGGAAATAAAATCAAGATTGCGTCAAGCATTTTCCTTCCTATCTGCAACCATATGTTTCAGAGGAGGCTAAACCGAGGCCTAGCTCCAGGATTAAATTCTGGTTCACTTAAGACTCGTAGGATAGTCCCTTTCCTCTTAATTATGATGGCATATAACAACAACAACAAAACAAAAAACAAGTGACATCATAGTGATCAAAGAAAAGTGAAAGGAAGGAGCTAAAGGCTTTGGGAACTATTTCTTTGCTGTTAAGAAAGAACACTGAAGATGAGATACTGTTTAGATCTGATACCGGCAGCTACTGCAGTTATCTAGAGGCTTAGGGGAACCAGCCCAAGGACTGCGGACTATGGTGATGGTGATGTGTTGGGGATGGCAGACCAGAAAGATAGAAGCAATCAGGGCTTTGATGACACCAATCCTAGAGCCCCTTTGTCTTCAGATGTTTTGTGATGTAAGACAATAAATTATTCTTACTGAATAAACTGTATTATGTTGAATTTTCTTGTTAATGGGAATTAATCATTTTTCCAGTTTGATCTCTTTGTGTACATTCTTTTAGTCTCATTTTTTTTGAGAATACATACAGCTGAAATCTGTGGGGATGTGATGTATGACTGGCCTCAGCCTATATGATCCATCCCTTCTGTAGTGGAATGAACTCATCTGATTTGAGCTCATGAACTAAGAGTGGAGGAGCAGGAATATCATCTAGGGTATTGTGGTATGGCCTTCACAAAATAGTAAAATAGATTCTGCAAGGAGAATAAAATAAATATCTAGTACTTTGTCCTTTTGAATGAGCCTTGTATTATATAATGGCCTCAAATTGTGAGTGGGCAGGAAATATGTAATTTATTACTTGGTCTGAAAGCTACACATCTGTAATTTTGAAGATGTGTAGGATCAGCGGTGGAGTTGCTGGTCTATTATCTCATCTCAGTAACCTATGCAAATTTGTTCTCAGAGTCTCATATGGCCAGCGTTGGACCATAAGCCATTTTGAGATCACAGCAAAGAAAAATGTGACCCATGGCCAAGACAGACAAAGCACAGAATTGCCGGGTGATCCAGTGGTCCCTAAAGACACTAGAACAAGTCACTATTTAACCAGTATGTTCCTTCCCACAAGCCCCGTGGTTTTCTGGTCCTCATCTCTCATAATCCGTGAAGCTCGGTTGGTTTCTTGGCTCTCCAAATCAACCTGCTATGTAGAAGAGAGGTCTTGGGTCAGGACTTGTCTAGTGATTTCAGTTTTTCTGTTGCCTGGAATTCCCTCTGTCAAAAAGTTTTGCAGTCAGCCGTTTCATAATGAAGGGTTAGCCTGTGAAACTGGATTTCCTGTGCATCTGGAAAGAGGAGCAGCCCTGGAGAGCTGACATGTTTTGTGAAAATTGCGGGTTAGTTTCTGCTATTCCCAGTTAGTCTCTGCTGAGCCTAATGTATTCTATCATCCGAGGATTTAAAAATAAATAAATAAGGAAGAATTTTTATATTTTTACAAACTTAAATAACTTCATAGCAAGAGAATCTAGTCAACATTAAACTATTTACTTCCCTCCAAAGTAATTTCCTCTTCACAGTCACAGACATACGCATTGACGAAGTTATAATTGGTATGAACATACTCATTTTTGCTTAAGAAAGGTTTTCTTTACCTTGGCATCCAGATATGTTTTCATAGGTGAAGAAAACTCTGCGGAGAAGGAACCTTTGCTGAAGGGTGGGTAGAATTATACGGAGTCATACTATTCCCGAATTATAGAAACTTTAATGGACACCATATCTCTTCTTCTAGCTCTTAGTATTATGCTTCTGCACTGCTAGACACAGTGGAGAGGTTTCTGCATTTAAAGCTGTGTCCAGATCTAACCCTGTAGGACTCTTACTTCTAAAGAGAGAATGCAGTCCTCCCCCAGTCTGCCAAAGCCTACTCCTTTGCCACAAGTCTGCTCCCTGAACCCTTGCCTCTACTTTCCTAAAAGGTTTTCCTTGTAGGGAGAAAGCAGAAATGGTGCTGGCACAGTTTTGTGGTTCATACTGTACTCCTTAAGTGTTTTCTTAAATGCAAGCATACACTGATGATTTCTAACCTATCAAAGCAAAAATTGCCAGTCCTTTCCCCCAAGTTCAGGAAATAGCCACATTTGGTTTAATTAAAAACAGCAACTATTTGTACAGCTGTCCCTGGGATCACAGCTCATAAAAGGATCGAGTTTCAATCTTGCTGTCAGAGTTCTTTGAGAGTTTCCTGCAGAACCATTGAGGCTCCTCATTTGGGCACTGCCAGACTTAGGCTTCAGCAGAAGGCTGCACCAGTCTTGAGAAGATACCAACCACTTCAGCAGCCAGGCTACAGGTGCCTACAGGGCAGGTCGCAAAGCCCAGGTGGCAGAACGCTCAAATACACAAGTTTATCTTCTTTTATGTGGAGGGATTCTAGGCCTAAGACTATTCTAGGAAGCTCCTGAAGTCACCCTTAGGGTCAGGAAGGAAGGGAAGGAAAATCAGGCACTGTTTTGCCCTTTTCCACTTTTGCTGGGATCTTTTTCCGCACTTTTGTTCCAGGGAGAGTCTATGTCATCTCTATCTTAGGCAGAAGCATCCCACAAAGGGAAAAGAGGCGGGGAAATTCTGCTGATGGATGCATCCGCACAAAGCAGCACGTTTTCCTAGCAAAGCTCTGGAGAGAAGGAAGAATCTGCGCTCAGCTCAGCATTTGACTGATATTCAAGTGCACACCAAGCAGCGCTCCAGCCTGCTTTGGGTCAGAACAAGCCTATTCGAACCAGAAACGTGTGAAGGGGACAGTGCGGTGCTGGCCGCACACACTGAGAGAAGCGGAGACGCTGGAGCCGCGAGTTAGGAAATGTAACCCTGGCGACCCCCTAAAAGCCCCACTTCCCTGCTCCTGCTCTACCTGCTTGCCAAGCGCTGAGCCGCCAGCCCGGGCGATGACTAGCCCTGCGCCCTTAGTGGCCTCCATCAGCCACCAAATGGTGGCTCTACAGACCCTGCAGCTGCTGCAGCAGGAGTGGGACTGGGTGGACGGTCCCGGAGCTCCGGGGAGCCTGCGAGACCAGGACCACGTGCCCGCCTCTGCGATGCGGGCTCTCCCGCGGCCAGAAGGCGAGGAGGAGGACAGAGGCGTGGGGGCCAGGAATGTGAGTGCCCGGGAGTGGGCGTGTTGCCCCGAGGTGGAGGGGGTGCAGGGCGCCCAGGGCGGGGCGGAGCTGCTGCCCTTTCCCCGCGATCGCGGGCCCTGCACCCTGGCGAGCAGGGCAATGCGCAGCGCTCTGGCCCGAGTGGTGGACTCCACCTCCGAGTTGGTCAGCGTAGAGCGCACGCTGCTGGGGCCCCTCCAGCAGGAGCGATCCTTCCCCATCCACCTGAAGGTGAGTCCGGGCCCAGCTGCACCTTCGGGCACTCAGGGCGGGGCTACAGGGGCAGGATGGAAATGGGGTGGGGTTGCGGGAGCCCTAATGGGGCTACCCACTGCGGTTTGACCCCGAGGAGACACTCTGGGGGCTTGGCCGGGCAGCTGTGCCCGGAGCTTGAGATTTGCCTAAAGCCCGCCTCATTGCAGAACCGGACGCAGGCGAAAGCCTTGCCAAATCCTTGCTTTGGAATTATTTCCTCTCACATAAATCAGCTTGCTGCTATAGCTGAAGGCCCTTTCTACATGTATAGCTTCTAGGGATGGAGGGCAGTTCCCCTCCCCACCTTCCAAAGAAATAACCTTTCCTTCAGAGCCTTAAGTATGCTTCTTAAGTCACCTTTGCTTTTTGTGTGATGAAATCATTTACATTCATTTAAAGTTCCTTCGGTCTCATGAATCACAATTCTTTTTGCATAGATCTAGTTCCCCAGAGTACAGAGGTCTCACACAGTCAGCCTGAACTCTCATAAAGTCAGTTGAAGGCAGGTTGGAGTCCAGGTGTTGAAGTGTGAATACTAGTAGGAACTCCTGCTAAGTAGCCAGCTCCTTGTTCAGAGGACACAAGTTCCTCTAGAGATACCTGGTGGTGTTAGCCAATTTAGCAGGAAGAGAGCTGAGTGGGGTCCTGAAGTGGGAGATTGGAGGCCTAGTTTTGGCCTTGCCATTAGCCAATGTAACTGTTTAAGATTGTAAATCTGTTTCAGACCTTCAGATTTGCAAATTCTAATCAGAAATATTGCTGCATTGATCCATTCTAGAGACAGAAGTCAGGGAAGGTTATTGGGGAAGGGTTGGAGCACTCTTCCAGAGAGTTACTTTTCTGTTTCTACAAACCAAGGTTTGGGAAAATTACTACATATTAAGTTGCACTATACACTTTATAAGCTGTATTTAAAATCATGTGTAATAAAGCATAGTATGCACCCAAATAAGGATTGTTTGCACTACGTTTCTGGGCAGCACTGACATTTCCAGCTGGGCAATTCTGTATTGTATTGTATTGTATTGTATTGTATTGTATTGTATTGTATTGTATTGTAGGATGCTTAGCAGTGTCCCTGGCTTTGGGCCATTGGATGCCAGCCAGTATATCCCCGTCCTAAATTGATGTAATGAGCAATGTCTCCAGACATTGCCAAATAGGGGTAATGGTGGAGCCAGAAGCCAAGAAATCATGTCTAGGTGAGAAGCATTTAAGTCCCTTAGGAACTTAAAAAATGAAACTGCATTTTGCCAGTGACCTCCAGGGTAGGATGAATTTTTGTTGTTGTTGCTAAGATATTTAAAAAGCACTGTCCATTAAATTATGGCACACTGCTGATCATAAATTACATCCTAATTTCACATTTTTTTGAGATGTGAGAAAATATGCGTCTTAGAATTGATGAAATATGGAGTTGTGTGCAGTTAGGAGAGTACACAGGGCATAGATCTATTGACAAAAGGAGAATGAATCAACCGTTTTACTTCAGGTAAATATGGAAGGCTTCTTGGAGGAAGCAACCTTAAAAAAAAATGTGTGTTTAGGGGCTGGGAATATAGCTCAGCGACACAAGCACCTGCCTGGCCAGCATAAGGTCCTGAGTTCAATTCCTTGTACAAAAGAATAAAAGTGTGTTTGTTCTCCAGACATTAAAGGGAAAAGAGGTTCAGAACTGTGTAATCTAAGGTCAAGGGGCATTAAAATGGCCCGGGGCTCTGGATGAACTGTAATATATTCAGTATGGCATGGTGCAAAAAATGGTGCTGAAGACTAAAGTTTCCCCAGGTAGAGAAAGGCTTGCACGGCATGCTGAGAACCTTGAATTGTCCTGCAAGCCCGGGGTAGATAAACCACCTAAGCCCAGGGAAGTCTACAGAAAACAAGGCTTTAGTTTCAGTCAGATCAAAAGACCTCGGCCTAAGAGCCTCAGCTCAGTGGCCGTCAAGTCGTGATCTTTGCCAGGGAGACAGTTTTCTAATAATCATTATAGCTGAAACTATGCCACTAGAGCTTAACGCAGCAGTCACTTGTGTTTGGTCGTTCCTTTAAATAGCTCTAACTGACTTTTGGTCTTAAACACTTCCTGCCTTTCTTCAGGCGTTTTCATCTAAACCTCAGTTCTCACTTCTGTTGTGAGAAAACTGAGCCCATCTGACAGTCTTCTTTCCCTGCTGCATTTCTACTCATCATTTTATGAATAAATAAAGGTCCCCCACGTGCCTTCTTTCTACAGGCAGGTGAGCAAATCCTTCTCATCCTCCACACACTTTTCGGTCAATCCTTTTATCTCTCTGTATGCAGTAATCCTCCTTTAGCCTTAGGAGATGTGTTTCAAGACCCCCGGTGGATAGCTGAGGATACTACTATACAGTGGTGCCTTGGTTCAGTCAGTTCAGTTACAACCAGCATCGTGGGGTGAATTCTGCCACCAGGATTGTGGAAAGAATTAAGTTCAGGAACTGAGGCACCACTACACATGCTGTGTTTATTCTCATGCATTCTTGCCTAGGATAAGGTTTAGCTTATAAATTAGGCACAGTATGGGATTAATAATAACTAATAATAAAATAGATGAGTATAACAATATATTCTAATAAAATTTATGTAAATGTGATCTTTTTCATTCTCAAAATATGTACTTGTGCTATACTCATCCTTCTTGTGGTAATGTGACGTGATTCACTGCCTATATGGTCAGATGGAGTAAGATGAATGAGGCAGGCATTATGATATTGTATTTTGCTACAGAGAAGGGCTTTTGAACCCAAGCACTGCCCTACTTTGGTGACTGATCTGATAACCAGGATACCTTCTAAGTGACTTGCAGCAGGCATAGGATGTGCCGCATGAACCACTGGGCAAAGAGATGATTCACATCCTGAACAGATTCGTCATATGACTCAGAGCCATGCAGTTTAAAACTTATGAAATATGTATTTCCGAACCATGGATGTACACAGGTTAAATGGAAGTTGAAAAAATGTAAGGGGCACTACTGTATTTTCTAATACCACTCAGTCCATAGAAGGCTCAAAGCTCTCTTTACTCACCCATCTTTGAGTTATGGTCCTTCCCTTTTTTACCTTAAACAAACTTTGAGTTCTGCTGCTGGAGTCTGCTGTGCATTTGCAGTGGAGGGATACATTTCAGGGCTGCTGAGAACAGGCAGGGTTTATAGTAGAGAAGGAAACAGGAGCAGGTGCAACTGTGAATCTGTGGGGTGCCACTTGAGGAAAAGCAGCATCTCCATTCGGCTTATAAATTAATGATTATGAAGCACTTAGATTTGAGGAGACAGCATTCTGTTTTTCTCTGGGCTGGTTATGCAGACTTAGCTTCATTAACATTAATGTTAATTAAATTGATTTGCAAGGGTGTTTTCTATAGTTTTATATCAAGAACATGCAAGTTGGTTTTCTACAAGAGAATGGCTTTAGGAGGAAGTCTGCTGAAATAGCTATTGTGTATCACTTAGAAGCATGTGGAAGCCTCTCTAATATCTTCTCTTTGGTGGTGTTACTGCAGAGGATGGGAGGGAAATTCATTTGAACTAGAACTTAAGGCCCAGATGCCAGCATTAAAGATCCTGCAACAGAGCCAACACCATAAAGTAATAGAGTTCCACTACTCATTCCAAAGCTGCTGTGCCACTTCCTGCTGTAGGAAGCTAAGTTACTTAGCTTATAGTGCCTCGGTTTCCTCATTTGTAAAGTGGGGGTGGTGTTATCTAAACTAAAGTGTTACTGAGATAAAGAACAGATATAGTATGTATCCTTATATTACAACTATTAATGGGTTCTGCTCATATGGGACTCTACCAGGCTCAGCATGGCACCTGCTCAATGTGGCACTGAGCCCTAAAACAGTATATCTCTCCTCCAGTAACTTCTGTGTTCTTCTAGTCCCAAAATAAACTTCCCACCTCCCTTTTGCATGAGCACTGAAGCTCCTCCAATCATCTGACACAGTGCCATGTCCACTCACAAAGTCTCCATCTCTAACCAAACCACATAAAAGCAACTCCCCAGATTTGTCTCTTTAGAGGTCCTCACAATCTCCTAAGCTCACCTCTTCCAGCAACAAAGGGTTTAAAAAAAAAACAAACCTCTGTCTGTGTCTCCCAACTGCACCAAAAACCCTAATATTTTGGTGCCCTGACTTGGATCAGTTGGGGGTACAGCTCCTAAGGGATATCCTAGTTTGAGTTCTCGCTGCCAATAAGCCACACTTGCCCTCTCCCTCGTCTCTGCTTTGCTATTGCCAGTCTCGGTGAGCTGCTTCTCGTGCCAAGATCTCCTGTCACTTTCTCACTCTCTCTCAAAATCATGAACACATGTCAGGATTTTCTCATGTCCTTCAGGATGCCCTTCTGTCCCCTAGGTGACAACCAATAAACTCTGATGGATATGTCTGCCTCTCTATCACACTCTGAGGATGGCAATCCTCCTAGGGGTTGTAACCAGCTTCTGCCTTTGGCTTACCTCCAATTTGGTCACTATAGGAAATATTTCTTCTCACCCTCTAAAACACACTCCACTTGGGTGTCTCTTTTAAAACGTACACACCCTAGGTCTCTGGGAGACCATCAAACCAAAACAGCTAATCTTTTACTGCTAGATGATTTGGACCAAGTATAAACTTGATAATGGCAGCCACTGATCAGAAGATGGCACTCTTGACTTCAATGTCTTCTGTAATGTAGACAACTTTTGCTACCGCAATGGTAAATGCTCAGAAATACCTCATGTGCAAGCATTTTTGCTCTCAGGGCACGTTCTTTCTTCATTCTGGTGTGCAGCGCAACCCAAATACTCCTGGTCCACTCTCTTGCCAAACCCCTTACCCAATAACCCCACTGATCCTCTTGATGATGTCCCTTCTGGATGTCCCCTCCGCTGTATCCACAAGAACCTCCTCAGTCTTCTCAACAGGCCTCACTTACCCTGTCTCCTTCTCACCCCACAACCCCACCA